AAATAAAAATATGGGGTAAGCTTCATGTGTATTCCATTTAAAAAATTTTTTTATTTAATCTCCAAATATTCAATAAGTAGCTTATTGAACTGAGTTTCTGTGATGCTCCCGGATGTAATAAATGCAGTATAAGTGATATTATTCCCATGGTTTCTCACATTTACCGGAAGTAGCTTGAATATGCCGATGATTAATAATGTCATAAAGCCATACTTCAGAACACGCACTAGATGGAATTCCTGCTAGGAAAAGGCTGACCCTTGTGTGTGACTTCATGCATTACATTCAAAATAAATACATGCAGATCTGTTAGTCATATATACATATCTAAATAATATCACTCGAACATTTTCATGTAAGGTAATTCTAATCTACTTACTTCCAAAATAGTTAGCTTTTTTTTTGTCACATGATCAAAACAATCTCTATAATAGAGATAATTCTAATTTTTTCCTTTCCAGTTGCTCTTGTTGATATCTGTAGTCATTATTATCTGGTCTGAAAGCTATGAGCATATAAAGTGTGAGCCCACTAGCAAGTAGGAAACGATCTATTTGCATTATTGGGTGAAACCATAGGATAAGGGTTAAAGCAGAAAAACTTGGATGACGAAGGTGACTGTACAATCTAGTTAAATAAGCAGACTTCTGAGTAAGTGGAGAAGGAAGACCCTGAATGTAGTAATAAACCTGAAAAGAAACAAAAAAAAACTGAACAATTTCCAGCTGTCATAAATGTTTAAATGATATAGCTTTTACTTATTTTAAAATACTTAGATAACAAAACCTAACAGCCTGAAAATAACTGTGGAAAACTCAGAAAAGCAAGAGGTCACAATATACATGTTATACTTTTATAACAGTGTTAATTACATGCTTTTATACTCAATCGTATTATTGTAATCGACATTTTAAATGTTTGTTACAAGACACAGGATGTTAGGATCCAGAAAGTTCATGAAAGTTAAGAGCTGAAAAACTTCACCTAGTGGGTATGATGTACATATGAGTAGTCAGTTTAGTTAAATGCTGGAAAAGTTATTAAGTGAGAGTTATTGCCTCTATTCAGTTAGTTGGTGAGTTACATGTATGTTTATCAATCAAAGTAAGTTAGACATACATACATACCATTATAGTTTATGTTAAAAAGTTTACATATGAAATTAGGCCTACTAGTGAACATGTCTGTAACGAACATTACTGAAAAATTAATTAATTCATTATCATTACGTGGACTGGACTTGGCATTATTTTTACCAAATAATCCAAAATTACATGTTTGCAAAAGTGATATCATATAAATTTCAATTAACTAACCATAGATAAATACCAACCACAGCAGAAAAGAATGCATTTCACTGAAAAAGCCGTCAGCTTATGATATCAGAGACCAATGCACAAACAGATTAATAAACAAATATACAGTGATACAATTATTTTGTTTATTTTTTACAATTCTTTACCAGTAGTTTATACAAAACAATTATCTGATAATAGTAAACAAGCTAAATTAAGGTAAGAAATGCTGAGTAGTTTTTCAAATATCTTCAGACAGGTAAAGTGTTTGGAAATGCTTGTCCAAATTAGACTTTCACTTATACCATGAGATTGGCGGTCAGTAATGTTGATCACTAGAAATGCAAAATTACTTTATTTACAAGATTAAAAAATATTTTCCGAAATTAAGAATATTAACTGAAATACTAATCTGATGGGAAATATTTCACACACGACACATAGTTTAAAACGTTTTTTAAGTTAGGTTATGAGCATTAGATTTAGAAGTTTCTGCTGCTTAGGCATTTGCTTTTTTCTAATTTTTTAAAAATCTAGTGTTGTTATGGAGTTGTTTGCTTTCTCAATCAAAATGGTTAAGAGTAGCAAAACAATAATGGGTGTAGAATGTTTTATGATGAAATAAACATATGGTTATGTTTGAAAATAATGGGTTACACTAGTGTAGAGTCTAAGAATGATTATAATTAGCTTGTACAGCTTGCTGTGAGAGGAAGAATGAAGTTTGCTTTTGGAGAGTCACTCAAGTGAACTTAAACTAGATGAACAATTTATGGATTTTAGGAAGAAGATTAAAATTTCAGATTAAGAAAATTAACAGGTTTACTGTGATGTGAAATGATATAAGGCCTAGGAATAATAACGAATGCACAGGTGATATTAATCTGGTACAAAGAGTCACTTATTGTACGTACATAAAGGACAGAAATCTCTTTCAATTCTTCCCCCCCACCAAGAAACTAAGAATGGGATCCAAGAATAACAGTTATATGAATTAGCACAGACACAGGTTTGAATGGATGAGCAGTTAAACCAGCTATATTTATAGGACAGTTGTGAGGGCCCCAGAGATTTGTACAACATGGGTTCTGTTAAGCAGGTTGATAAACAAGCTTTGGAAAAGTTTCAGTAAGAACTGTTTAAACAAACTACCCCTCCTCCCAATGGGATCAAAAGAGGCAATTCATTATTTTAATTTCTAGATTATTCAAGTTGAAAAATCAAGTTAGAAATAAAAGAAGTGATGAATGTTTTCTACTTCCAGTAATATTTCACAAACGTCCGTAGCATGACTCAAGTTTAATAATAAGAGTCAAACTACAATAGGTATCGATTCTACCAGTAATATTTCACAAACGTCCGTAGCATGAATCAAGTTTAATAGCAAGAGTCAAACTACAATAGGTATCGATTCTACCAGTAATATTTCACAAACGTCCATAGAATAACTCAAGTTTAATAGCAAGAGTCAAACTATCAATACCTATTGTTTGTGAAATATTGCTGGTAGAACGTCGTAGCATGACTCAAGTTTAATAATAAGAGTCAAACCACAATAGGTATCGATTTGTGAAATATTGCTGGTAGAACCGTCCATAGAATAACTGAAGTTTAATAGCAAGAGTCAAACTACAATAGGTATCGATTCTACCACCAATATTTCACAAACGTCCATAGAATAACTCAAGTTTAATAGCAAGAGTCAAACTACAATAGGTATTGATGCTAGTAATATTTCACAAACGTCCATAGAATAACTCAAGTTTAATAGCAAGAGTCAAACTACAATAGGTATTG